AAAAAAAAAAAAAAACAAGCAAACAAAAGAAAGAAAGAAAAAAAAAAGTGGAAAACTCGAATGAATCTTCTGCTAGAACATGGGATCATACGCTGCCATATGTCTTGTCTTTCAGTGCAAGTGTTGACAAGTGGATCCAGGCCCTTAGGGCCACTGCTCGTAGCAAAAGCAAAACAAAAGAAAGAAAGAAAAAAAAGTGCAAAACTGGAATGAATCTTCTGCTAGAACATGGAATCATCCGCTGCCATATGTTTTGTCTTTTGTGCAAGTGCTGATGAGTGGAGCAAGCTGGTAGGAAAAGGAAAACAATAGAAAGAGCGAGCTAGGGTAGTAAGTAGCTGTAGCCCATAACTGTTGGAAAGCAGACCTGACTTCGGATCCAGAAGATATATTACTGGCCTGCTCCTCTCTCAACCCAAATTTGACGAATGTCTCTGGTGGGACATGGGAGTCCTGCCGATTCTCGGCTGGGGGCGAACGCAACGGGCCTTTTAGTACCCGTTTCCCCTGCGCCACCCCCCATCAGGCCGTGAAGGCCGGTACCCCTCGAACGCCCTGCAAACGCAAATGGGTTCGCGCGGGTTTTTCAATTTTTTTTTTAACAAAAAAAAAAAAAAAAAAAAAGGAATGCATGGGGTGGTACCCGACAATGGGCACGACCACCCCACACCTTCGGAAAACCCCTATCCCCTCCCCAAACGCGCGGAACCTGGGTCCGCGGACCCCGTTTATTCGCGTCCAACGCGCGTTTTAACGGGGATTGAACGCGAATTCAACGCGCGTTCAATTTTTAGTTTCGGACACACAACTGGCGCACCGTATGGCGAACAACTAGGGCGAATCCAGCCCTTGTCGAGAAGGTCATCGAGTTGTGCGCGAAGCACCTCGAGTTCCTCTTCGCTCATGCGATAGATGCATCCACGCGGAGGGACGACACCAGCCTCGAGAGTGATCCCGTGGCGTATGGGCCGATCCAGAACCGTTCCGGTGGGAGCCTCGAAAACGTCTCCATATCCGTCTAAGAGGTGGATAATACGTGGGTCCGACGATGACGCGGCTGGTCCGTCCGGCGAGGGGTGTAAGAAAACAAGGCCCATCTCCTCGACGTCATTCCGAGCTATGGCGTCGCGAATCCTCACAACGGAAATCACATGACAAGCAATCGAAGTATGAGGGGTCGCGACCGTACATGGGACTAACACTCCGTTCCGATCACGGACGTGAACCGTTCGGTCATGAAAGTTCACCAGATGATCGGCGCTACGCAACCAAGACATGCCTAGAATCATGTCAAACTTGGTGTCGAGGATATCAAAAGACACCGGCTTGCACGCAAGGGGCGCAAAGTATACCGGAACGTCGTCAATGCATCGGTCAATCGACTTTTGCATGCGGTCGTCCACGAGTGTCACTTGCGTAGGTTGCGTCTTCCTTCGAACGCGCGGGCCAAGGCCTGCGCGGGCCATAAACGCTTGGCTCATGAAATTGCGAGATGCTCCGCAATCAATCAAGGCACTGCAAGTTGCCTTTCCGATTTGAATGCGGATATAGAGCAAAGGCGCGTCGGTCTCGGCGTACCTTTGGGTGGCATACTCGCGGTCAATCTTCGCAAGATAGGAGCGGAGATCGACAACCACTACTCCGTCGTCCGTCAACGGAGCTGGTATTGCAGTGTCCAAGTAGGAGCGTAGATTTGCCATCAAGGCGTTACAATGCGGCCTTGGCAAGGTTCCGGTTGAGGGTAGATGCATCCAAGCGAAGTCCTCTCTCGTGAGCGGGTCAAGCTCCTCAAGTCTTGACCACGCCGTTGAGTCCTCGGAAATCAGTGGCGAGCTGACCGGTTCTCTTGCCGACGGTGTACAGGTTGCGCATACGCTATCTAAGTGCACGTGGCTAGGCTGGTCTAATGGTGGCACCAGCTGGGCGGCATAATCCTCGTACGTCGCACGAGAATCGGCGACTAACGCATGCTCCCCGGTAGTGATATCAGTTGCTAGCAACGCAACCGGTTCCGGCGGAGTGAGCAGAGGTGTCGCCCCTCTCCTTGCGTAACTCAGTTTCCCGAGTTAGCTGGACGGGGTACGCGTGCCTTGCCCTTGTTCGAGCATTGTGCGGTAGTGTGGGTTACACTATTGCACCATAGGCAATATTCGTACTGCTGATGCAGGTCAAATACTTCCTTGGTTATGTTGTATGTCGTCCATGGTTGCTGCCCAGTTCCCGTCGATGTCATCGCTTGTGTCGCCTTGTTCTTTTGAACTCTCTTGGGATGCTTCGGCGAGAGCGCTGCGACAACTCCTCCATCACCCGAGGATGCTGCTGGAGCGTGGAGATCGACTGATTCGTCAGAAATCACGGCATTGTTATGTGTCGGTCGTTGATAGCCTGGCTTAGCCACATAGTGCGGTTGGGACTGCCGTCCGTTGGCGGCCTCGTCATCCGTTTGGATGACCAGGTTTGCTCGATCTAGAATAGCCTGGAATGAGGCATAGTCGTACTCGTTGCCGAGTGCCGACCGCAGTCCTGCGCACGATCGCGAAAAGAATTCGGACCGTTGGTTTGGAAAACTCAAATCGAAGCCTGGAGTGGTTACTATCTTCTGCCACTTGATCGTCCAGTCTCGAGTTGGCATGCTTCCCTGTGAGCTGGTATAGACCTCGTTCATGGCCGCCTTTACAACGTTGCGGACCATGAATCGAGTGAACCACAGCTGCTCGAACTCCTTCCACGGAATGTGTGTGTGGAGTTCGGCGATGGTGCATTTCTTGCTGGCCGCGAGATGGTTGATCCATGCCTGTGCTCCTCCAATCAGTTGGAGGTAGAGCGCCTTCATCATGTCTTCAGCCGGTACAGTGCGGCGGGATGCTTCGGTGAGGAAACCTTGCCACCATGTCAAGGCGTCCGTCTTGTTGTAGTCGTTAAACTTGCTGATGTTGAAGTGCGGCATCTTGTATGTCTTTGGAGCGGCGTCCGGTCTTGTCTGCAGTTTGGTGATGTCCGTCTCGATGGTGGCCACCGTGCTGCTGATCGTGGCCGGACTAGTGAAATCACCTAATTCGCTGATAGTAGTGACGACATGGTCGATGCGCTCCTCAAGCTGCTTCGCCGTGTCTGTCGTGCAGCCTGGTGCTGCGGAGGCCTTAGCCTCGATGCTGTTGATGCATGCGAGAGTGGAGTTCAACAGTTGTTGCTGTTGCTGCTGCTGTGTTGCTGCGGCGCGGATGACAGCTGTTAAAGTGACAGTGTCTTGCTGCTGCTTCTGTCTGTGCTGTCGTTCCGTGCGCAGGTGTGCCTGCAACAGTGTGTTATTCCACATTACTCCCCTCATCATGCCCAGCATCAAGTTAGCCAGGTTACTCCTCTCTACCTCCGCCGGTGTCGGATCCGCCTGTGCTTCCGTAGGCACAAAGATCATGCCTTGGAGTAGCGTTGTCCACTGATTCTCATTTTGAATCAGGGACTCGGTGCTGGGGGCATTCCGTCTGTCTCGAGCTGCTGCGTCAGCCTCAGCAGTCTGCTGAGCTTGGGCTGCCGCCTCATTGGCCAGCCGCTGACGTTCCGCCTCTGCTGCCTCCTGTTGTGCCTTAGCGGTAGCGACGGCATCCGTAAATGCCTGTAGCCGCTGAAGGTAAGCAGACAACGGCTCGTGGGCCTCTTGGACCGGACATGCGGGAAGAGCCCTGGTGGTAGCCGGTACTGCAGTTGCTGTCCGCCTGCTGAGTCGCTGTTGCTGATACTTAGTTCGTGGAGGTACCACATAGTGGCTACGAACTGCAAGCCTGGCACTGCGTCGTGGCAGTGCCCCAGTGTCCTGTTACATCGACATCAGTCTGAGCTGATGTGGTACTTGAGAAGTCCCGGTGGTCACAGATTTCGGGGAGGGTAGGGAGTGTGGGAACAGGGGTAGAACAGATCAAGCAATTCACATACCGTCCCTGTCCCAATTAAGGACTAGACACCTAATCAAAAGGAAAAAGATGAACTTTCCCCCAAAACAACTTAAAAATTCGTAAAATAATAACGAATTAATAATCAATAAAAATTAATTAATGATTAATAACAAATTAATAATTTCTTAATAATAATCAATAAAATTAATCAATAATTGCAATAATGATAATTAACGAATTTTAAATTGTGAAAGATTAGGTATCCGTTGAGATCACCTTATGGTCCGGGAGTTCACCGTTTATTTGTGAACTACCCGGAAGCTGCAGTTGTGAAGGAACGATTCCGAACAGTTTGCCAAAAAAAATGTTTCGGATAGTCAGGAAGGAACACACTCGAAATTTTGAAAACGTAGAATTTCGGGAATTTCAACCTACCAAAGTCCGATTTTCAAAGGCCTGAGTCCGTATTTCGGAATTCCTCGAATTAGGGAAAGAAAAAAAAAAAATCGCGAAAATTTCGGATTCCAACCCTAATTTTCCGCGATTCTGCGGAATTTCCGGTTTTACGGTTCCAAAACATTCGAATAACCCAAATTGAATGAAAAACCGAAATTTATCGTAACCCTAATTCCAATACCGAAATAAAACAGAATACCAATTTAAAAACGAAATACCGGATTAAAAACAGAATGCCGAATTAAAACGGCGTACCGAATTGAAAACAGAATGCCGAATTAAACAGAATACTGATTTAAACAGAATAACGAATTAGAATCAGAAGACCGAATTAAAACAGAACATCGGATTAAACAGAATAGCAATTTAAACGAAATACTGAATTAGAAGTCAGAATACCAAATTGAAACGGAGATGCTGAATTAAACAGAATACCGAAAAAAAAATAAAAAAATTTGCAACTTTGAATCTCGATAGTGACGTAGCACTGATTTGGAAGATCGAATAAGCAATCTATTCCCTAATCAGACTTACCTTGTGAGCAGATCCATTATTTGGTCTGCTCCGATACCAAAACTGTTGCATACTCGTGAATACTTCAACAAGTATGGGCAGAACCAAAGATCAACCAATATAGGATGAGCATGTATGCAGCGGAAGTCTGATAAATGG